AAGTTGAGACTAATTTAAAAATTTTATAGAACATAATCAGCAGTTGAAGCCCAGAGTAGCAGTGGCTGCCCTCATGTGTTCTTACCACTGCAAAGCACAGGCTTTTATTTTTTATTTTTTTAAGTTTATTTATTTATTTTTAGAGCGAGGGGAAGGGAAGGAGAGAGAGGGAGAGAAACATCAATGTGTGGTTGCCTCTTGCATGCCCACCACTGGGGACCTGGCCTGCAACCCAGGCCTGTGCCCTGATTGGGAATCGAACCCTGACCCTTTGGTTCGCAGGCCCACGCTCAATCCCCTGAGCCACATCAGCCAGGGCGCAAAGCACAGGCTTTTAAACGACACATTCCCGCACCTGCCTTGGATGTGTACACGCAGCTTCCTGGGTACAGGAAGCTATTCGGAGTATAAAGGTGTTTCAATTTGACAGGTTCCCCCATCTAATCAAAGTGATTCTGTGGTCATATTCAAAGTTCACATGAAAACTCTTCCATGTACCTCAAGTCTACCAAGGTGAGTTGAAAATCTCTTACTCTAAATTCCTGATGTCTTGTGTTAAAATCCTGGCTTGTTACAGTGGGAAAATTACACACCTAAAAGCTGCTATTTCTGTAATTATTTGACAGGAAAGAGAGTGACAGGTCTCAAAATAATAGTAGGCTTCCCAGAGGTGTCCGGGTGTAAGAACTAAGATGATTAAGATGCAGTAGTGTCAAGACATCTATCTGCTGGTCAAGAGCGATTTCATCTCAGGATGAGAATCACTGCCCAAGCAGTTACACACACACACACACGTATACATACACAGTAAGTCATACAGACGTGTGTATATATCTGACTTGTTGGCATTATCCGCACAAAGTCGAGATAAAGAAATGTGTAAAGGCTGCAAGATTGGAACGTTTCCTTTCTGGAGTTCACTGAGGTGCTAAGCTGAGGGTCTGTATAAGGGGTTCGCGCACATGTGGGTTCACAGCTGTAACTGGTGAGCCGAGAATCAAGACTCTGGGAGGGTTCAGTCTCATCAAAGTTCCACCAAGGTCAGAGGTCAGTGAGAATTTTTGTGGCAGGGCCTGGGAGCAGATTTCTTAGCAGAAACGGGTTGCTCTTGCTGTGAGTCCCTTTCCCAAGTCCTTCTGGGGTCGGGGCGTGGGAGGGTCACCTTCAAACACTTGACCTGTGGAGAGAGCTTCAAGAAAACCACTTAGGGGTCTTTGAAATGCTTTCGCATTGTTGGGACACGTGAGTCTGGGGTCTGAGTGCCATTGAGATGACACAGATGGCCTGTGGACACTGAGGTGTGAGTCCTGCCAAGAACTGGAGGTCAGTGAGACGCTGGCTGTCACTGCTTTGGTGGAGGAAGCAGCCGAGGGCCGAGAGGTGGGCTGAGGGAGGAAGGCCTCCAGCCAAACCATAGGAGTGCTGGAGGAACAGCAGAATGCTATACCCAGGAGTGGATTCTGCAGCCAGAACTCACCACTAGGTGGGCTGAATACCAGTGCATCCTGAATGACTACTATAACATGCGTTAGTTAGAACTTGCTTCTTTCCCATAAAAAATATGTTACTAAGGGGTATACGGAAGTGAAAACAATGCAATATTAATTTCTCAGGCCTCCATGGTGGATGGTTCCAAACACCTAATGACAAATGTTAACTACATGATAAGAGATTCCTCAAAAAGGTAAACTTAGAATTCTGCTATGACCCAGAAATCCCACCCTCAGCATGCTTGTCCTCTATTAAGCACTCCTAAGATTAGGCAATTAACCGGTAAAAGGGGTCAAATACATGGTGATAGAAGGAGATTTGACTCTGGGTGGTGGCCACAGGATGCAATATGCTGATCATGTATCATAAAATCGCACACTTGAAACCTGCATAACCTTATGAACCAATGTCTCCTCAATAAATTTAATAAAAAACAAAACATGACGACTTAGATTATGATAAACAGTGCAACAACTTTCTTTATAAATATCCATGACTACATCAGTGAATAAATTGGGTTTCCAAGTTAAGGTTGGTTTATAGAGTAGATCTAAAAACACAGAAATGGTGAGTTCACTTAATAAACAATACAATGTTAATAAATACAATCCTGGAAATTGGAGACTGGTTTCTTTTTAAGAAAATATGTAGTAGCAATGGTGTGGACAAAAAGGAGGTCAGAAAAGAGCATTTTTATGAAAAGAAATATCAACTAAAAGGGAACAGTTTAATAGAAACATACACTGTGTTGTAGTTTTATATTAAATACCCATAAATTTACCCCAAATTCTTTGAGATACAAATCAGCATTGTATTAATTCTCTTCTTCTTCACTATGGGCTTTGTTCTTTACAATTGAAATGGAGGCTTTATTTTAAAATGAACCTTGAAGCCCTGGCTGGTGTAGCTCAGTGGATTGAGCGCAGGCTGTGAACCAAAGTGTCACAGGTTCGATTCCCAGTCAGGGCACATGCCTGGGTTGTAGGCCACACCCCCCAGCAACTGCACATTGATGTTTCTTTCTCTCTTTCTCTTTCTCCCTCCCTTCCCTCTCCAAAAAATAAATAAATAAAATCTTTTAAAAAACCCCACTACAACACTGAGTAGTGGATTTTGTTAAAAAATTTTAAAAAATAAAATAAAATGAACCTTGAAACAATTCTGATGATTCATTATTTCATCACTTCAGTAATAAAATACAGCTACATGCAAAAAAAATGAAACCACCAACTTACAGCATACACAAAAATAAACTCAAGATGGATAAAAGACAAATATAAGTCATGACACTGTACAAGTCCTAGAGGAGAACATAGGCAGGAAAATTTCAGACATTCCATGCAGCAATATTTTCACCGATATGTCCCCTAGAGCAAGGAACATAAAGGAAACAATAAACAAATGGGACTTCATCAAAATAAAAAGCTTCTGCGTGGCTAAAGAAAACATCAGCAGAATGAAAAGAGAACCAACTGTATGGGAAAAAATATTTGCCAATGATCCCTCAGACAAGGATTTGTTCTCCAAAAAATATAAAGAATATACATGACTCCACTCCAGGAAGACAAAGAATCTGAAAAATGGGCAAAGGACCTGAACAGACACTTCCTCAAGGAGGACATACAGAGGGTCCAGAGACATGTGAAAGGATGCTCAGCATCACTAGCCATCGGAGAGATGCCAGTTAAAAGCACAGTGAGAAACCACTTTACACCAGTCTGAATGGCCGTCATTAATAAATTAACAAACACCAAGTGCTAGCAAGGCTGTGGAGAAAAGGGAACCCTAGTGCATTGTCAGTGGGAATGCAGACTGGTGCAGCCACTGTGGAAAACAATATAAAATTTCCTCAGAAAATTAAAAATGGAACTGCCATTTGACCCAGCAATTCCACTGCTGGGATTATATCCTAAGAATCCTGAAACACCGATTCAAAAGAACCTATGCACCCCAATGTTCATACCAGCATGATTTATAATAGCCAAGTGCTAGAAAGAGCCTAAGTGCCCATCGGGAAATGAGTGGATCAAAAAACTGTGGTGCATTCACACAATGGAATTCTACGCAGCAGAAAGAAAGAAGGAGCTTATACCCTTTGCGACAGCATGAATGGAGCTGGAGAGCATTATACTAAGTGAAATAAGGCAGGTGGTGAAAGACAAATGCCATATGATCTCACCTATAAGTGGAACCCAATCAACAAAACAAATAAGCAAGCAAAAATGGAACCAGAGACTTGGAAATAAAGAACAAACTGACAGCGACTAGAGGGGAGTGGGGAGGGGGGTAATGGGGGAAAGAAAGGGGAAGGGTCAAGTCAAGGAACTCATATGAAAGACCCATGGACAAAGATAACAGCGGGGGCCAGGAGAAGTGATTGAATGTGGGTGGAGGGTGGATAGGGAAGGGGAGAGTAATGGGGAAAAATGGGAACAACTATAATTGAACAAGAATATAAATAGATAAACAAACAAATAAATAAATGTTAAAAAATGCCCACTTGCTGCTGTAATAGTGGCAGCCGTGTAAGTAAGTACCTTCGAGGGAAATGAAGTATCTAGGTTCCCTCTCTCCTACTGTGTCATTACAGTGCTGGGCACCTCTGTAGATGAAACCAAGACAATCTCCAGCTGTTCTGTAAGCAAGGACAAGTCTAGGCTGCCGTCCCTCACCAGGAGAAATGTTCTGGAACGACCTGAACTCTTCCTTTCAACATGCTCTTGGGCAAGGTGTACACTACCTACGCCGACAGGTTCCACAGAGCCCCGTATAGTAAATTATTTCATTCTTCCTTCCCTGTTGGAAAGTCACCCGTGTTCGGTCAGGAACACGAGTGCTGTGTGATGGCCCAAGGCCTAGCCTCAGCCAAAGTCATGGAGCATATGAAAAAAAATACATGAATAAATCATCGATACATCTGCTTTTACTCTCTTTTTTTGAGAAGTCTTGAGCAGGAATCATTTCAATTAAAAGATGGTGCATGAGACTGCACAGTAGTAGCTGTTAATATGCAACTGGAAGACTGGAGGCTGTCGTGACGTACGTAGACGCAAGGGCACCGTAGGCTCTGCTGAGTGCACGGATTAGAATATAAATTATGATCGCGACAGGCGGGGACCCAGGCGATGGGCGCTGTCCTCATTTACTCTGCTGACATTCCCATGTGCGCTCTGGGAGGCTTGATCTAGTGCTAACTAAGGAAATACAGTAGAACGTGAATCGTGTAAATCAGCTTCATGCATTTTGAAACATATGACTGTTTTTCCCCGTGAATGCAAATTCAGAGTTTTTAAAACAATTATTACTCACAAAAGAAATTGGAAACAAAGAAAAGCTATGAGGAGCCAGCTTGAAGAAACCTCAAAATATCCAAACAGATTGTGTTTTCCTGCTTTAAACATTTGCTCTCATTACGTTTTTTGATAGAGGCGATAGGTTAGGTAGCTTGGACACGGTTAGTTCCATATACAAAACAGCTGGTGGAAGATACTAGAGACAAAAGCAATTACCTTCTCTTGATACTGCCGCCTGGAGGAGTCCAGAGACTGGATGAGAGCCGTGGCGTGGCCCACGAACATGGCGTAGCAGGTGGCCCCGACGATCATGCTCAGCATGGTGATCCAGAGGTCGGACATGCTCACCGGGGCCTGGGCTCCGTACCCGATGCACAGCATGTGGCTCATGGCTTTGAAGAGTGCGTAGGAGTACTGCTTTCCCCAGGAGTCATTCTGCAGCGGAAGAGAAGGAGAAAGTAGCCTGAGCCAATGAGGCAGCCGCGTGTACACAGGTACCTGATGCTTTCCGACGCCTGCCTGGCGCTAAGGCATAGAAGTAGTGCGCTGTGAAGACACGCCTTCCTACTCCGTTTCAGGTTTGTTGTTTCTAGAGCTGCAATTACTTTTCGGACAATGGGGCGAGAGTCACATAAAAATGCCCAGGATGAATGCTGTTAGGCTCATTCAAAGTTCCTAGGAAATCTGGCCATTCTCTAGAAATGCATTTGTTAGCTGAGATGGGTGTGAACCCAGGGAGACGGAAGTATGGGAATTTTGATCAAAACGATGCGGTGTCGATTTTTTAAATCCAAATTGCCATGTTATTGTAGTAGTTGTGAATCCTATATTTCTGAAGTGGAAAAGTAAACATATTTTGAAATACTGGTCTGGTAAGTGGGAAGAACTTCCTTGATACCCTCTCTCAGAGTAAGGTACATTCAAATTCAAATGTCAAGGTTGATGGTGAATAAATCTTGTTGGCTTTTGAAAAAAATACTTAAAAACATAAAATAAAATAGGCAAAATAATAGCTTGGCAAACCGCCTGGAGGATTTTTCTTTACCTGTGGGGTAAAGAAAAAGCTGACTTCTGAGATTAGTTATTAGATGCAATTTCTGATGTCATTTCTAAACTTTATTCCAAGCTCAATTCTACAAAAATAAGCATCAAACTCCCTAGCTCAGGACTTACGTAATTTATGAGGCCACCTGCAAATGGAAAGTTTGGGCCTTTCTGTTCAGAACTCAGGAAAAAAACACATTGTTAAAGATAATAATATATAAATATTTTCCTTTAAAGGATGTTATTACTTATAAAACTTACTGAGGTAATAGTGACAGATGAGTAATAACAAAAGTGTATTTCAAAAGCTAGTATTTTGGTATAATTATATGTACTACAATAAATAATAATACAGATTATTGTGACATCTTGATTGATCACACACTATTTCTGGCTTCCTTTTCTGCAAATTAATTTCTTAGGTCATCAAAATTTATACAATTAGTGATTTCATTTTTAATGATAGAGTTAAAAGTGACATCAGCTGCTCTTGGCTGCCAAGGTCACAAATGATTGTCGATACTTTTAATTTCAGGAAAGATCTTTCTGTTCATGAAATTGTTAGTGGAGCTATTCAGAGCATTTTGTAGGCTGTGACAATATTGGAATAAACTTCTGATAAAGTATTTTAATATATAAATATTAATACATCTGGAGTTATTTCTTACAGAACAACTTTCTATAAAAACATAACTTCATATAATTTACAGGTATGTGTAAATGTAATGTTTAAAATTAAACCTTTTATTTGGAGATAATCATAGATTAAAATGCAAATTGTAAAAAATAATAGAAATACATCCTTCACCTAGTTTCTCCTAACGGCTACATCTTGCAAAACTATAATAAAATGTCACAATGTCACGATGAGGAAATTGACATGCACACAATCCAGTAGTCTCATTCATCCTTCAGTAATTTCCATGTACTCATTTGTGTGTGTATTTAGTTTCACACCGTTTTATGGCCTGTGTAGGTCCATGTATTTGTCAACACAGTCAGGATACAGAACAACTGAATCACAACGGAGATCCCTGACACAGCCTCCATATTGAGTTTAAATCTGTGCTGTGGCATTTTCACATTTCCTCTGACATTTCCTGCAGCTTGCTGAGGTCACACAGGAAACCAAAAGCAGTTCCATGATTCATACGGAATCCAGCATTTATGTTTACATATTCTGTTCCCTTATTCTCAATGACAACAATTTAATTTTTAAAAAATTGTCTTTCTTGTTAATAATCATGTTTTTAAATTATTTTATTGTTGTTCAAGTACAGTTGTCTGCATTTACCCCTACCATGCCCCCCAAACCCAGCCATCCCCACCTTCCTCCCATGTCACTCCTCCTCGGTTTTGTCCGTGTGTCCTTTATAGTTGTTCTTGAAAACCCTTCCCCCAATTCCTCCATTATCCCCTCCCACCTCCCCTCTGATCACTGTCAGATTGTTCTTAATTTCAATGTCTCTGGTTATATTTTGCTTGCTTGTTTTGTTGATTAAGTTCCACTTATAGGTGGGATCATATTGTACTTGTCTTTCACCACCTGGCTTATTTCACTTAACCTAATGCTCTTCAGGTCCATTCATGCTGTCACAAAGGTTCTTGTTAATAATTAGCTCATTTACAGCTTTAACATGAAAATGGTCTTCCGTCCCATCAAATGCGCTGATCTTTGAGTTTAACCTGTATTTCCAGGCTGGTGGATATTTGCTTCACAACATTGGAGCAGTTTTCAAAACTGGGCACCGTAAAATGTGAAGAATTCTAATAAGTCCCTGATCTGCTTTATGGTAAAATGCCCGTGGGCATTCTCTACTTGGTAGCAATTTATTGATGATGTTTACTGCCTGAGCTCCGCAGGCGCTGCGTTGGAAATTGGGCGGAAGATTTAATATTTGTGTAGATACTGCACGGAGGGGCTCCTGAAACTGACAGGCAGCTGGCTGGTCACCTGGGGTCCTACCCTGCCGCCTGGGGGAGCCACTCCTACCTCCAGGGTGGCCATTAGGGCAGCTACAGCTGCAGTTGACTCTGCCAATCTGGGGAGATCTGGCTGTGCCACGTCGGGGTCACACAGCGCCCCACCTGGAGAGGCATGCACAAGTGTGTCTGCGGGCTGTGTGTGCTCAGCTGCCCCCCTGCAGCCCCCACTCATTCACACCCAGGCCCCACGGTCCCAGGGGACTTTACTGACAAAACAGGAAGTCAAAAATAAAGCTACTAAAATTGCAAGGTAGTAGCAGCAGAGCTTTAAACCAAGTGCAGGGCTCTTTTGCAAGAGGGTCCTCCAGCAAGGGCAAGGTCATGCCCCGCACACCCATGGAGCCATGCCCACCTTTGTCGAATGAACTTTGGCATGAGCAGAAATGTTTACAGTTATTCTAAAAATATGTTAAGTGTATGTGGACATCATGTCCATGTTTTAATGGGGTTTTTCAAAATCAAATTTTTACATTAAAAAATTGAACACGACTTTGGGTGGTAAACACAATATCACATACAGATCATGTGTCATAGAAATGTACACTTGCAACCTACATAATCTTATTAACTAATGTCACTCCAATAAGTTTAATAAAAAACAATGTTGAATCATCTAATGCGTAGCAGATGTTCATCCCCAGGCGTGCCCTGGTGTTAATATACAGGGTCCGGCACAAATAACACCCCTTATTTTATTACAAAATCTTTCATTACAAAAGCATAAGCATGTAATGCTATAATGTAACAACATCACACTCAAGCACAGCATAGGGCACTTTAGGTGAAATGTTCAAATTAAAACTATAAATTATTACATGCATTACCCTACCAACCACCCTCAAGCAGGCCTTACTTGTGCAGGACCTTGTATTAGGTCCCCTAAGAATTGAGCGGATGCTTCTTTATTCTTCTGGAACCTGCTTGTGGGTTCCACAGTGGACTATTTATTAGAAACCCAGTGGCCAAACTGGTAAGTAGCAAAAGAGCCACGGTGGCCAAGACACGGAGACAAGGGATGGCTGGGTGAGAAAGATGGTGCGTACACGCATCGGAGCTCCACTCAGCCACGGGAAAAGATGGAGCGCCACCATTTGTGACGACGTGGATGGACCTAGAGCATATCCCACGAAGGGAAATAAGGCAGACAGAAAATGTTGAGAAGTACATGATTTTACTCACATGTGGGGCATAACACTGAAAGCAACAAATGAACAAAAAACAAAACAAACAAAAACTCACAGACACGGACAACGGCATGGTGGTGACCGCAGGGAAGGGGGTGGGGGCTAGTGGAAGGCAAAGCAGGTCAAATATAAGGTGATGCAAGAAGGTTTGACTCCAGGAGGCGGGCGCACAGTGCATCATACAGATCGTGCATCACAGCACTGTACACCTGAGACCTAGACAACCTATTAACCAATGTCACCTCAGTCAATTTGATTTAAAAAGGTTGAACATGGTAAGCTTTAAAAGCCTAACCTTATAAACTTTGGATTTGTATGTGGCTGCTGACAAATAAAATATAACTAACTCCATTGGGTTGAAAGAGTTAAGTTTCTTTTTTTTTAATTGTATATTTATTCTTACATTTTTTAAAAGATTTTATTTATTTATTTTCAGAGAGGGAAGGGAGGGAGATAGAGAGAGAGAGAGAAACATCAATGTGCGGTTGCTGGGGGCCATGGCCTGCAACCCAGGCATGTGCCCTGACTGGGAATCGAACCTGTGACGCTTTGGTTCACAGCCCGCGCTCAATCCACTGAGCTACACCAGCCAGGAAGAGTTAAGTTTCTTAAAGTGAAACTGTTACTCATTTATAAAATGAGGCCAGGCTGCCATCCATCTATCTAGCCACCCATCTCTACCCAGAGATTTCTCACAGATCAGTCAGAACATGTGTAAGAGAAGGAGGCGTATCCTAGGGAACATAGCGGAGGCCAGTCAGAGCGGTGAGAACAGTTGTTGGCTTGATGGGAGAAGCCCCTGAAAGCGTTTCAGCAGGGAATGATGTCATCTGAACTGGATCTTGGGAAGACTGACTGACCAGGAAGAATTGCTGAGCAGTGGCTCTCCGCTGAGAATGATTTCGCAGAGCCAGCGAACACAGTGACGTGCCCAAGGTCACCAGGGTTCCCAGCGCGTACACGGAAGATCCAGGGGTGTGAACCCAGGCAGGCCGGCTTCGGAGAACACGCTGTTATAACCACTGCTATGACACTGCTCTTGGTTTTGTAAGCCTGCCATATTTACACCCTCAGGCAAAATACGAAGCCTGGAAAAACTAACCGATCAGCCCATATCTCACATGTAAACTCTTACTTAACGTAGTAAATGAAAATAAGGCAAAGAGGAGACCTGAAGAAAGAAAAGCTAGGATCCGAGAGGGTTTTATGAAAATCTAGGCA